GTGACGTCACATAACACGATTCGTGTCAGCTCTTCGTAGACGTTCCCTCCCTCCCGTTTTTCCTCGGGGGTTGGGTACGGCTACACGTAGGCTATGGAACGCACTGCCGCTGGATATCTGCTCACGCGACAATTTGATGCAATTCAAGCGCAATCTTAAAACACATCTTTTTAGGAAAGCTTTTTACTACATAATTTATTATTGGTTAGTCAGTTATTTAGTTATTTAGGTAAGTAGGTAGTTAGTTAGTGAGTTTTTATCATAAGGTTTTATTATTCTTAGTTTTTATTCTGATTTTTACAGCTTAGTTATTTTATTAATTAGTTTATTTTGCTCCTGATTTTGTTCATGTTTTATATATTTCTACGTTTTTTAATTAATTTTTATTGGTGAGATATTTTTAAACTCATTGTAAAACGCTATTGGATAGTAACAGAAATAGCGCTATATAAATAAAGTATCATCATCATCATCATCATCATCATCATCATCATCATTATTATAATCCTTTCCCAGGGAGGGATTAACGTTGGTGATGCACACCCTTAGCTAAACATGTAAGAGCTGGAGGATGGTAGGAAAGAGAGTTCTAGTTATGATGAAATTAAGATGATTTCTGCAGAACATTCGAGCAATGATGGCAAAAATTAAGTAACCCCCCAAAAAGGCATGGCATGGTAATATTTTGAATACAATTAAAAAGAACTTACTGAGACTTAAGCTCTCAAGCTGACCCCATGAGGAAAACTTGGACTTGAAGTTATCAATATGTCAATAAAAACAGACGTTTCGCATTAGATTAAGACACAATAACAGACGCTTTAAGCATTCTTACGAGGTTTGACATTAACTTTTTCGAGAATGCTTGAGAATTTAATCGCGGGGTCACTTAGAGAAATGAACTAAAGTGAGTTGTTTAAGATAGTATTCCCAAAGTTACCGTGCTATGAGTAGATTTTTAGTAAATAATTTTCGCACCCATTGCCATCGCCATCACCATCACCATCGCCATGACAGTATACTAGTTATGAAACCTATTACACCTAATTACGAAACATATACAAGGTTTCATTTCCTTATCCGGTCTTCAGTATCGATAACAGCCTGACATAAGTATGTAATTGCAGGCTTATGCAAGACTCAGCCGTGTAGAAAACGAATTTAACAAAGTCAAATTTTATTGCTTCATTGATGACTGCAATCTTCGCGAGAACTGCAGACTTAAGCTGGAGGAAGTGCAAGAAGGAGATCGCGTTGTGTTTCCAGGATCGCAGACGCAATACAGGCTGAAACCGACCGAAGAATTTGAACCGCAGGTTTGCAATCAAGAATATGACATGTTAATATAATGAAATAATCTGCTCAGATGTGATTTTGAAGTTAAGAATTCAGTATTGAATTTTAAATTTGGTTAAATTTGTCTTGCTAAAACCGTAGAAAGCAATGCAAAGGTGAATTACAAAGAGAAGTAGTTTACAATATATGGTATGTTAGGTCACTGTAATGTTACCCAACGTAACCGTAGTTGATCTGTTATTAATCGAACGATTGAGTTCGAATGAGTCCGAATGTATTCCAACTTCGACCAATTTTGTGAGAGTTCGATTGTGTTGTGCTCGATTAAGTTCCAATTGAGTTCAATTAAGTTAAATTAATCGAAAGTTCGTTCTATAGCAGAGATAACATTTTACTAATGCGGCTGTGGAAAGTGATGCTCTAACCGTTAATTGTTAAACTGAACAATAATCAAATCACATAAATTTGGTATTCTTTAGGATTCTGTGATCTCGGACAATGACCCAAACTATCTGGAACAACTCTCGCGTGCAGTTTTGGAATCGCTGGGCATGTTCAAAAGTGAAACGGATGCAAAAAGGTATTTGGAAGCTGACATGTGGTGTCACTTCGGAAGAGCCATAATCCGAGGACCCAATGAAGGTAACATGCCAGTAATAGATTCTGAGTTATCTCAGGTGATACACACACATAAAGAAATGAATAGATTACTGGGAACTGCAGTGAACAAATAAATTAATAAAGATGGTGAATTTTAAGCTCGGTAATGAAATGTGAAAAGTGAACTGATCAACATGACACGAGCGTGGGACAAAGAAAAAAAAATCTGAGACCCCGACAGGAATCGAACTCATGACTTCCCGAACATTGGGCGGGCGCTCTATCCACTGAGCTATGAGAACTCATGGAAAGCAAGATCATTTAACTGAGTTCATATGTGAGAGGCGTCCTCGCACTGCTAGGATCAGCACTGTCGCAATCATCGTGGGTGTGAAAAGGGAATAAAGATGGTGAATTTTAAGCTCGGTACTGTGAAATGTGAAAAGTGAACTGATCAACATGACACGAGCGTGGGACAAAGAAGTGAACAAGTTGACCAAGGTGTAGGGACGTTTGTACACGAGATCGAATTTGTATACACATTGTGTAAATCTTAGCACAGAAAGCGTTTTAATTCCTACTTAGAAACAATGTTCATTACAATCTTAAACACAAAACCAGAGTTGCGTTAATCGCGTTCTGTTCATCTTTCACAGACGAAGCTGCTGAGGGAGTGTGGAGTATCGAGGACGCAACCGGAAAGTTCCGATCATCAGCAGAAGGAAATTATTGGAAAGTTGCATTTAATGAGGGAGTGGATGTCTTGGAAGATATCTTCAAAATGCATTATCGCGAAAAAATGCCTGAGGAATATACCGAATATGCCACAAGATATGACTTAACATTTCTATCTCCATGTTGTTATCAAATACGGTGCAAGGTAAGTTAAATTCGGGTATATTCGTAGTGTAAATCTTTAGTGAAAAGTAATTTTTTTAACCGTCACTCATTCATTTACTCGATTTGCCTGCACTGTTGTTTTTGTTCGATAAACAAGGTCGTCTCTAACGTTGTGTCATACTAAGCAGACGGATAAATTTGCTGAGTAATGTTGTGCCCTAATTCAACAGGTGTGGGTAGCAAAGGAGGCTACCAGGAAAAAGTTGGAGGACATTCCAATCCCGTCTAGTGACGTCAAAAACATCCTGGAAGAGATTCACTTTGAAGACGAATCAACCCGTTCAAGATGTCGAGGGTGGCTAATTGTTGCATCAAGAAGATATTTACAGGCCGACATTTTATTTCCCGGATGCGAATTTGATTGCAGATTTTCCATTCGCGGAAAAACAGGTGGGGTGTTGGAGTAATTATTTCAATGAGTATGTCGTTATTGCAGGTAACTAATGCAGCGAATGAGTAATGATAGTCTACACAATTTGCGAACACTTAGTGAGCCTCACAAGATGGGAGAGTGTGAATAGAACCGAGCAGCGGCCGGTAATCGAGCCTAATAAAACATTTGAGATAACATTTTATCTCTTGCTTGACAGTACGATGTCTAACAAGACCAATAATGATCATGATACACGTGGTTATTTATTTTAGAAAGGAGATTGGTGGGAATAAAAGCTACTTACATCCCTTCTTGACATGATAAACCACGTGGGTATTTCTATTTGTCTATTGACCGTGGAATTGATTCCAACATTTTTGTTTGAATTGAGGACACAATAGTAAGTAAGTGGAGAACAGAAATGTTAGTTACAAGGGCAGGTTGCATGAGCAACGTACGCATTGAAGATGCTGTCTGTATTTGCCTTTTAGGCGCTCAAGAAAATGAGATCGAGCCTTAATTGAAGTTTGTCATATCATTGTTCCAAAACAATCTTTTAAACGTAATACGTGCAATTTTAGGAGAGTTAGGCTAAAAAGTGCAGAGTTAATTATTTTCGGTAGAAAAATTGTTACACGTCATGTTCTAAAGAGTGAATATTGTACTGTTTTTCTAGAACGTGCCGAAGCTTTTGACTATGTACCTAAAGAAGAAGTAAGACGCGTTTTGTCACAATATCTGTCTGGACTGACTTTGACCAAAGATGATGCTTTTGGACTACGTCTACCAGAGAAAGAGATACCCGAGGGATTTCGCTTTATTCATAAGCGGTCCTCCAAACGAACAGTGTACCCGGCCAAGCCAGGATTTAGCATCATTTTATCAAAGGAATGTTCATGGCGAAGTGTCGTAGCAGAGGAAAGTTCCAGAGAATCGGTAATAATTTTGTAAAAGAGCAAACATGTATAAATAAAAAAGCAACATATTTCGAAGTTAGCAAACTTACACCGATCCGCGAGGACAACGCCTAGTAATAGTTTACTATAAACAATTATCTCGATCTACATGTATTTACTGTATCTTCTCTTTTGAAGGACCGCCGGCCTAGCTCAGTACATGTATATATAGAGGGCTTTTAATTTGAAACCGTAATACGCATGGCTCAAGTTCTCCTTTTAAATATGTAGAATTTTCTGTTTTATCGCTGGGTTTAAAACAGTCGTCTACGCCTCATGTTTTAAATCCGATAAAACACGGCTGCTCTTTTTTTAAACATTACATTATAAGGCATTGGCATTATAAGGCCAATATCCAGTAATCTTGACCGAACAAGCTTGGTCAATAAAGGATTTATTATATGGCTTTCGGGGAAATTTTTCTTGCGGGACACGGCNAGCGGGCAAGATAGCTCCATCTTGCCCGCTCGGGTAGCCAATCACAGCGCAGGATTTGATTCATCTTGCCCGCTCATGGAGCTAGCCATATAATAAACAGAATTACTTCTTTCTTATACCGTCTACTTTGTATTGCAGATTGACCTCCATTTACATTGCGATGAATGGGACCAGTCATTCAGCAGCGGGCAATGGGAACCAGAGGTCATAGTTCGTAAACTACCAGAGTTTCTTCAGTTTGTAAAAGAAGTTCAAGGTTTTGTTGTTCGTGAAATACAAAGAAGTGGACCACTGGAAGGTAAAATTTAAAATATATGGTTATTGATCAATCCAGTCAATTCAGCTTTCAACTGAACGCTGGAACACAGTATTTAAACTATATAATATTCCATATAACGCGCGCTCTGATTGTAGTCACACTATTGTTTATGCTCTGCCAAACCCTTGAAATGATTGGCATGAAAGAGTGAGAGAAAATAGAACAATTTAATTTATTGGGGCGAGCGAAAAAATGTCTCAAGTAACCAATTTACAAATGTATACATGACGCAAAACAGTAAACGTACATGAAAATCTAAATTTAGCTAAATTTAAATCTGATAAAACACCCAAACACCTAAAATTATGACATTTTGAAAAAAGAAATGTCGTGTATAACCTGGTTTAAATATTACTTTTGGGCTTTTCATCAGCGCTGAGTACTAACGCTCTCAAAATCGCGATAACCACAACACTAATCTGGTAGAAACGAAAACAATGCGCAAGTGCCTGTGGCCAGATAATCAAAAGGGACGTGAAAATGTCTTGTTGCGTGTATCAAGAAATGGTCTATTGTTCCGGCTCAACATCTCACTTTTTTGAGCAAAAATGAATAGCCTTTTGTTCTTGGTAGCCCTGAGGGACTTCGTTCGAAGCCAAGCCTAAATCGTCGTCCTTGATTTTCTCGGTATTTGTGTACACTTATTTATTCTCAATATTTCTTTTCTTTTATTTGCGTTTTTTCACATTTTTCATGTCTGTTTGTTAAGATTACTTATGACTATTTTCCACCCTACTTTACAAGCGTAATAGGGTGTCTCAATACCAGGGCGCAAAAAAGCTCATGCGCCTTGCTCGATACAGTTTAGTGGGTACTAGAATATAGACATATACTGTCATTCAGCCCAACAAATCTTAGGGGCGACCTTCTTAACTACCAGTTGGTCCCGAATTTAAGAAAAACTTTCGTTGTCAGGATGGCGAAAATGAAAATCAAGTAGACTTCAGGAGCGTAGCGACCATGTCCAGACCTAGGCACATACGCACCTCCAGAAATCAAGAAAAAGAATAAAGAAAAAAGTATATGTTTGGCAGATATCGTCTTAACAGTTAAATCAGTTTGTTTAATAGTCTCTATTCTCTCCTGTTTTAAAGCCTACAGTCAATTATCCCAAAGTCTGAGATATAATCAACATAAGTTATTAAACACTCGTTTCTCTGCGGTGTGATACGTCCCTGAACTTCCATGACGTCCAAACGTCTATTTACTATTCATATGTAAAACGTATGGAATGTTTTTGCGATTTACTCGATATCAAACTTACAGAATTTTTCTATTGTTATATTCTACTTGCAAGCACACCATTTGGTATTAGCTTTTATGTAGGAAATGTGGTTCGGCAGAATAAAACTTTTACCGATTTTGATTTTGCCTTTCCAATGGGAATATCGATTACCCTAAAAAAGTGTACATTTTATTCTGAAGCAGAACTTCAATCTGTTATTTCCAATAGCTGCTGCAATTTTGACTTCAAACTGATAAAACGCTGATTGAAAATGCTATGTGTGGTCCAGAAAAACTTTCTATCGAGGAAACTGGACCATCGTATCCAAATCTTAGTGCGCTTTCCATTTGTCAGAACTGGCCGGCTGGAAAGGGCTAGTTTTTTCTGGCCTAAGATCAGCCCGTGTGATCACGCGCGTGGGAACTGGGTGTATTTCGCGCAAAGTGAGTGAGGGTTAGCGACGACGAACTAGAATTGGAAAATGAAGCTCAAGATGAGCTTATATTTTATTCTGCTATGGTAGTGTTCATGAACAGAAAAAATTTCGCGAATTCATGACTGTTTTGAGGTGACTGTTCCCGCGTACGAACTTGATATTTTCCGGTGGAAACCCTAAAACACGGAGTCCGGAATCCGGATATTATGGGTGACAATAGAAATAATTTACTTTAGCAATGTCTGATAAATAAAAAGATAAAGGGAAAATTACTTTGCTGTTCTTTATTTTCTGGGTTTCTTTGCTTTACTTCAACCACAAACTGTAATTGCTAAAAAGAAAATGGACTAGTTTTGAACAACCCTTAGAAATAAATCTGGTCCCGGTTGTTCGAAGGCTGGATAACGCTATCCACCGGATAAATCGCTATCCAGTGGATAAGTGTTAACAAAACAAACCTCGCTATCGGCTGGATAGTGATTTATCCGGTGGATAGCGTTATTCACCTTTCGAACAACCAGGGCCTGGCCCGGGTTGTTCGAAAGGTGGATAAAGCTATCCATTGGGTAAATAACTATCCAGTCAGGGTTAGTGATTTTTTGGGTGGATACCCGTAGCCTGCGAGAAGGCTCTAGTGTCTAGGTTTCCCACTCAAGCGCTGCTTTCTTGGTTTTTGCTTTGGCAAGTGAGCGAGTGTCTTCTCGCAGCTTCGCCGCTCACAGGCTAAGTTACCCATCTTTTGTTCAACCTGGCCCTGGGGAGAACGCGCTTCTTGTCTAGATCAAATTGCTCTGAGAAGACTGGTGAGTAGCACAATAGCAACAAGCCATTGCGCTTAGTTTCTGGCAGTCTTTTAGCATCTTTAACAGCATGTGGTCCGATCTGCTAGAAGCAGACGGAAGTAAATGTGCAACATTTCTCTGAGTTGTTTCAATGTGATGGCCGATAAGAATATGTAGAGGTGATTTGTAACAGTATCAGAGTGGAAATTGTGTTGATCTTGAATTAGTTTCGCCTCTGTTGGGAAAAACAAATTTATTTAGACGAGCCAGGTTAGCCTTTGGACATCGAAAATTGGGGGCGTGACCGTCGATGTACATGTAGCTGCCACTGACGGAGACCCTGTTCTGTATGACATTTCCTATCTTGTTCAGTTTCTAAAGGCCAAATTTATGCCTCCGGTAAATTGTTCTCCCCAAAAGAATTGTGTTATCAACCTGACCAGCCTTTGCCTCAGGCTATTGCAAAGAAAAATCTGATGGTTCAATATCTGAACAACATTTAATTTGAACTGCTATCATTTTAACAACAGATTGTTTCTACCATCAAGGGACTTTTAGGTGATACTGTTCTTTGCAGTTCAGTTTATCTTAGAAGTTTGCATCAAAGGAATGAATAAATTAATTGATTAATGAACTAATGATTAAATTACCGAATTGAAACTATGAAGCTTTAAAGTGGAGTATGCAATAACTGAGCAAAAATGGCTTTTTTCAAGACATTTGTGTGACAAAGCTTCGAATGTATGCAAAGAAAGCCAGTTACCTTCTTCATCAGAAAATGCATTTTGATGTCTTTGACGGGCATTTACTGGATACATTAAATTTGCAAGGGTTTGGTATATGAATATCATAAATAAAATGAAAAAAGATAAGTGTTTTCTAAATATTTTGCATGCCTTTAAAGGGTAGAGAATACAGAGTCAAATAAAATTATGAGGGTTTTGTCCTGAGATGTCTCAATGAAGTAGTCGTTGGTTCCATCAAAATGAATACTTAACAAACATTTAATTCAAGGATAGTGTTAAATTTAAAAAATTATTTCATGAAATGCTACAACATTTTTTTAATAATTTGCATAGGACGGTTGTAGTTACCATGGAATGGTTAACATTGAATTTATTTTCAATCGAGTCAAAACAGTTTAACAACTACAGAAATGTTGTTTTAAAGTTTGAAATGGCGGACAATTTGCATCGTGGGATAAAACTGACAGAACTTGCTGGTTAGTTCTCAGAACCGACGTGTTCCATTTAACGAGTGTCCGGTCCGACCGGTCAATTCTGACAGATGGAAAGCGCACTTATTCGTCATAAGCAACTGACACTGGGTGGGGTCAATTTGGATACATCTTTTGACGTTTTAACTATCGTGTGGTTCTCAGAACATTTGAAGGTTTTACTGATTGCATTCTTTTGGTTGTTGCAGCTCCTCCAGAGATTCTAGCGCGCGGACAGTTAGCTTTGGAAGTTTATAATAATGCCCTAGCTGAAGGCAAAGCGTCTGTCAAGAGGGTACCATTGATGTTGATTGGACAAGACCGATCAGGGAAAACCAGCTTAAAGAAGTCATTGAAAGGCATAGTTTTCGATCCAGATGAAGACAGCACTGTCGGCATTGATGTGGATCGATATCATTTCAAAGTCACCACTGAAACTTGGATGACGGGAATGAGAGATGAAGAGTCAACTACTGATGCAGAAGCCTTTTCTTTTGAGCATAACGCGGCACGGTTGGTTGCTGAAAGATTGATGGAAGTAGACAACGTTATTGGGAGTGAAAGAAGAGCTGACGTTGGTTCAGAAAACTATGGACTAGAGATGACTGAAATCCCGATTGAAACTCAGTTCCGTGAGTCATCAACAGATCCAGAACCAATTGATTCACAGAAGCCTGATCTACTAGCTGGGGAAGTACCTGATTCAAGAGAATTTAGTATCGAAGGCGATGCTCTTTTCATCACACAAGTGCAAATGTCAAATTTTGAAGAGATTGCTGGTAGAACGGAAACGCTACTTCAAGATGGTTGGGCAGAAAACAGCGGTGACATCCACTCAATTATGTGGGATTTTGCAGGACAGTCGGTTTACTATGTGACACACCCACTATTTCTCACAGCAAGAGCAATCTATTTGTTGGCTTATGACCTCAGCCAAAGTCCGTATGACATAGCCAAACCTGTCGTGAAGCAAGGAGTGTTTAAGGAGTTTCAAGATAACTTCAATCTAAAAACCAATTTAGATTATTTAGATTTCTGGTTGACTTCTGTGGCTTCCCTAGCCAGTCAGGACCAACAGACTGATATAGGCCATGAATCTGAGGTGTTGCCAAAGAAAATTCCAGCGGTTTTCTTAGTGTGCACTCATGCTGATGAACCTCATAAGGGTTGTGATCCATTTAAACTCGCCAAAGAGATATTTGGGACGCTAAAGAGTAAGCCGCACGGTTCCCAGTTGTATGACGTGTTTGTTGTTGATAACACAAAGTCTGGCAGTCGATCTGAATGTCCTGAAGTTATGCGCTTGCGTGAGGAAGTACTTGCTGTTGCCAAGGAGTTACCGCACGTAAATGAAGTTATTCCAATCAAATGGCTGAGATACGAGAAAGCTCTTGAAACGCTAAAGAACAAAGGATACAAATGGATCTCTCTTACGCAAGCGAAACACATTATGTCCAAAGTATGCAGCATTAACAACGATGGCGAGATGCTAACATTGTTGAACTTTTTGCATGACCTGCGACTTTTAATTCATTTTGATGACACTTCAGAGCTGAATGATGTAGTGGTCTTGGATCCTCAATGGCTGATTGACGTGTTCAAGGAAGTAATTACGGTCCGACCCTATCACTCGAAAGACAAGCGATTTGTTGATCTATGGTGTCAACTTGAGAGAGAAGGAATTCTAGAAGAAAAGCTTCTAAGACATGTTTGGAGTTCTTTGATTCGACGGACAGAAACGTGCGAATGTCTTATTGCAATAATGGAAAAATTCAGCTTACTCTGCCCCTTGCCGTTACCTGTAGATGGTTCACGCAGCAAGCAGTATCTGGTGCCATCTATGTTGAAGTCACATCCAACAAACGCGATCAGTGATCTGGTTGCATCTGCACAAATTCCACCTCTTTTTCTTAAATTTGAAACTGGCCAGGTTCCTGCAGGCTTCTTTCCCCGGCTTGTTCTGGAGTTCTTTCGATGGTGTATTGACAGATTTCCGCGGCAAGAACCACCACAACTCTTCAACGGGTTTGCGAGATTTTACATTCAGCCAGGAGAAGGCCGCTCTGTGGTCCTACTTTGCCACTCTTTGTCCATCGAGCTTCTTATCCTAACCAGTAATAAAACTTTTGACACTTCTGATGGGAACTTGGCCTGTGCTGTTCGTACCCAGCTTGCTTCGATGATCAAATGCATGCAAAACAAGTTCTTTTGGGTCAAGAACGTTGTATGTGAGCTGAATTTCTTATGCCCAGTTTGTTGTCGAGGACGTGAAGTCAGGTTCTGCCGAAATCACCACGCAGAAGGCTGCAAGAAGGAGGAATGTCTTCACTTTTTTCCAGATTCTAAACTAGTCACTGGTGATAAACAGGTCTTCTGCAGCAGATCCGCCACTGCCCAAGATAACCGAGTTTTAGTCGCACACTTTGCGCCTTGGTTTCCATCTGAGCATGACAAGGTGAGCAGGGGTGTTTAGGTTGTGCATTAAGTAAAAGGTTCTGAGGAATTATACCGGATATACGTATAATACCGGATAAGGAAAAAGAGTGTTTATAGATACTCAAGAGCTATAAACTTAATCCTCATATACTCTCCAGCAGAGTCAACGATGCCCATTTAATGTTTAATGTGGCTTTTCAAATGGTATCAGTGAATTTTCAATCAACGTTGAACACCTTTATGATATGACAGACGACCATAGCAACAACGTCTCCTCAAAACCTCCTTTATAAATTAAATATTTAGGGATTATGATCAAAACAGGAGTTGGGTGACCATCATTCTTGATCGTTGAGGATTTCATACTTCGCAAAGGGATAGGATAGGGATCTAGAAAGACATTAAATTTCGAAAGCAGGCGTATAAACTTAAAAGTCCTTCTCTTTTTATTTATCAAAAGCAGGAATTGTCTGATGAACAGGATGGAAGACTTCTCATTTATGTGCAAGGTCTGCCGGCTTCCTTTCACATTCGGTTTACTTCTGTGTGTAATAAAATTAGTTTTCAATTTTTTATTTGATGTGATCAACCCCTCTATACCATTCCTGCGAACAACTTACAGCTCAGATCTTTTTGTAGAAGGTTTCTGCTATGTACATTTGTTTAAATCCAAACTAGATGAGTTGCCAGGAAGATCACCTGCCATACCTTGTAACGTATTAGGATCCCTTCAGCCGGTTAACCAATTGGAAGCCGGAATAGCCAATGAAAATGCCGGAGAGCTTCTTCCTTTTTTCATGATAAGATTTTGTTTTATTTCTTGTTCGTATTCCTTTAGAGATTACATGTCTTTGGTTTCCTAAAATGTTTTTCATTCCTTTGCCTTATAGAAAAATTTTCCTTAAGTTTAGAGCTACCTTTTTTAAATGTCTCTGTTATTTTCACCAGATGATTCTCCAAATGTTTTCTTTTTGTGCATGTTAAATCTACAGGTCATTGCGACACATCCCTTGCATTACCTTGCGAAGTTCTTACAACTCTTCAATCACAATTGGACAGTCGGCCCGAAAATGTAGTAGATAAATTTCTACAGAATCTGCAGCTGGAATACACGTCACTGGAACAGCCAGAGCCTGAGACCAGGAAGTGGATCCGTTGCCTGGCTAGGAAAGCAAACGATTTAAATAGACTAGATGTGGTGAAACACTTAAGACAGATTACACCAGCAGGAGCTACGGGTAGGTGTGACACTGGCATTGTAAATAATGATGGTGACGATTGACAATTGATGGCGATTGACAATTATTTTTGGTTTTCTTCTCTGTTAAGTTTTGTTTCCTAAATGTTTATGTGCCATGCATATGTCCTTATGTAAGGCGCTGGGTTTGACTTTGGGGTTGATCATATGCTTATGATTAATTGTGCTTTTAGACGTTTGGCGAAAGTTGAATCATTCTTCAGTGTTCTTTTGGTTTTGTTTCCTGTCTTTTAGGGGAGGGGAAGAAAATGTCCTTGACTTGATTGAATTAATGCGATGTGAACCGTTTGTCAAAAATAAAACACAAAAAGAAGACAGTCGGCTGCCAACATTGTTTTATTATATATGGTCCTGGGACAAAGAGATTTTTGACAAATTTTAAGGAAGGACAGAGCAATTGCGTTAAGACTCTTATTAATTTACCATGATTTAAAGGTTTTGTAATTAAATATAGGATGCTGGAGAATAATTAAAACTCATATTGCACTATCGGAAATGTTTACGCATCCTTTAGGGTGGCTTAATATATAGACTTAGCCAAGCCTAAAAGCGGAGCTCCTGATTACAATAAAGAATTGGTTCATGCTTGGCGTGCGTATATCGAGTTATGGATGTACGCGGGAAGTTTGGAGAGCACTTGACCTCAACCCGCGATATGGTCACGTGATACTGGTCAGCAGATACCTTGCTTTGACAGCTATCAGTTAATTATAGCATGGATGTCCAATATCAATGATGTACCCATAGTAATGTTGGTACCCTCTTATCTTTCAAGGTGTGGGACTTGGCGTACGGACGTACGTACGCACGTGCGGTCACGTGAAAACCAAAATTTTTGAGATCGAGGGGTTACCAAATTTTTTAAGGTATGGGGCTCCGCTCGTGCGCCTTCGGCGCGCAGGAGCTCCGCTATTAATCATTATTTTATGGCTTTGGCTTGTGGCCGATATAACGCGCGCTCTGATTGGCTAAGAGCGAGATCTGAGCGGTCATTATGCAGCCGTATTGCCCATTACCGAATACGATTATGCGAATTAGGAAGAGCCTGGGCACAATGTAACAGATGCAAAACGAGCACCGCGGCGGCTCTGAAAATTCGAGTGCATTTAATAAAACGATGAAAGCCGATTAAAAACAGTAAGATAAAGTAAATTTAATTCCGAGTAGCTAAAAGTTTAGTTGAAGAGCGAAGGTACAAGAGATTGCGAGATTGTGCTGGAAAGGACAATGTAAACAAATTAGAATACATTCAAGCTCACGTCTAAGAGGCAAACAAATAAAGTATTTCAAATTCGCATCAGAAAGCTGTCAGTGACACGATAACATTTCAACAGGATTTTTCCTTGATGAAATTTATATAGAAGTAGTTTTTACCTTACCAGCCGGTCACTTTGGCGGGCATGCACTAGTGAAAAACAATCAAAGCGGTTTGCCGAGTCTTACGTAAAGCTAAAATCGCTAGGTAAAAAACACCATCGGCAGATCTGTCAGGCATCCTGAGTAGATTGCCACGAAGAAACTTATAAGTTATCATCCTAGTCACAACAATTACCGAAATACTGAACTCCGTCACGGTCAGTTTAGCAGTTCTCATCAAATAGATTCCCTGGCTTTAACACAAGCAAGTGTAAGCGTAAATCAGCTTCCAGGATCATCGGATGAAACAATCGGGCGGTTTCTGTCGGCAGCAGTTTTTGATAACTACAAGAGGTTTTAGACGTTCACAAGGCTTGAAAAGTTCATCCATAAATCTCCCAGAATGAAGAAGGCGAAGATATGTTGTCGAAAGCGAATGCGAAGATCGAGTTATTCTGAGCAACGCATTCTGAAGCATTATTAAGGTCATTCCCCAGTATTGCATTGCGCATCCCTACTGCGCATAATTTCACGCGTGATTAGCGCGCGCGCATGAAAAAATGGCGGCTTTTTCT